TGTGTGTGTGTGTGTGTGTGTGTGTGTGTGTGTGTGTGTGTGTGTCTGTGTGTAATTACCAAGATCATTTTATTTTCCACTCTTAAGTAATTTCAAACTTTTTTTTTTTTTACTCAGGTCATGTTTTCGACCCTCAGCTCAGACCATGGTTGTATGTATTTTAATCCTGGTGATAGTTGTCTCAATGACCATGGTTATGTGCTTCTTACCTGGTTGCACTTTTACCAAGGTAAGAAAGGCTGTTTAGCTCAGTTTTCAGTAAAGTGTAAATGAGCTTCTTATTCCACCGGCTCAACCCCGTCCTCAATCCGTCTGCAGGAAGGCTGTCCTAAGCCCAGTCAGACAGATGATGATGACGTGTTTCCGTGGGCACAGTTCAGACTGCCTCGCAGCATACATCCCCTCAGCTACGAGCTCACCTTGACCCCTGACCTCGACAACATGACCTTCACTGGCAAAACCGTCATCCACATGATTGTACTCCATAACACAAAGCGAATCGTCCTGCATGGTGCTAATCTCAGCATTTCCAAAGCTACATTCAAGGTTCGATTAAAATGGCTTCACTGTATGTGTTGGTCAGTGTGATGGTTCAGGTTTATGTTTTGTKGTCTGTTCTGTTGCTRACAGRTRTGTTTTATTTCTCTCTTCAAGCTGGGTGATACGCAGGCCCGTGACGTGACGGTGCTGGAGCACAGCAGCAGACAACAAATAGCTTTTAAATTTGAAGAGGAGCTGAAAGCAAACCAGCGCTGTGTGTTGACTCTGGAATACTCTGCTAACCTTTCAAACAGCTACGATGGTTTCTACAACAGCTCATACACCGGTACAGATGGAATGAAAAGGTACACTTGACCAACGACTGTGTTGTAACGACACGTGAACGAAAATAAACTAATRTCAACTCCTGATTTACAGCATTAACATTAGGGCTATAATAATAACAGAAAACAAAATGTGTTTGATTTTCAATTTTTAAAGGGATCCATGATTAGTTGTAACATTAGACTTTATTTAATAAACATATAATTTAACTGTAAAATAAATACTGTAAAACTACTGTAGAATGTTCAGTTTTTATCATTTTTAAACTAAAAGTTTAAAAATATATTACATGGGCGGGGCCATTTTATTTACACGCAAAGCATTCTGGGTAAATGATGACGTGGAT